CCCTGAAGTCAGTTTTATCATGGCTGCAGAAAATCTGCACTTTGTCACCAGGTTTAGTGAAAAAATCAGAGGGAGACTGACGGACATCCACACTCAGACTAACACCTGGACGGAGAAAGAAAATACATTAAAATTGTCTTCTCCACATTAACGGGAGATAGTTGTATGCAAACAGATTATTCAGAGTCTGTTTTGTTGTAAAATAGGTTTCTACAAACAAGGAATTTGACGTGGTGATTTGGTGCATCACAGAAAAACCAAGAATTTTTGAAGGAGCATATAAAAAAATTAAAAAGAAATGTTGAAATTAAAATAAACAAGTGTAGTAAATCTAGAGAATTGTAGGTGATGTAAATATTTAGCATGTGCAAATTCTTCACCTGAGTATGTGTGAATTTACACAGCCTGTGGTGTATTTACCTGTAAAGCAGCAGAAAAAGAGAAAATAAATCATTCTAATTTCCATGAAATGAAAAAGTTCAAGAGCAAAACTCTGTGCTGCGAAAGTTTTAGGGACTAGATTTGCTGCGATGTGACAGAAAATCGACTTTCTACTGAGCTGACTGAGGTTTAAATAGGAAAAGGAAGTGAAGTCAGATAATGGCATCGAATCCAGAGCAGCTGGCTGGAAGAGGCGGGTTCAAGTTCTTATTTAAAACCATCCACTCTGATAAGACTTGGCTCAGTTTTTGTATTAAGGGGAGGAGGGTTGCAGTCAGTGTGCATAGCTAGCTGCGCAGTAATACACTGCACTGTGCTCAGCTTGGAGATCGACTATGAACAGAGAACCCTTCTTTGCTGTCTCTCCGCTCATGTCTCCCGTGATGTTAAAGTTGCTTTCAAAAGGCTTCTCGTGCTCAATGATGCCATAATTCACGTGTCCAATGCGCTTCAGAGTTTGTTCTCCAGGGGATTTCTGGTACCACAGCATCAGAGTGTAGTCGGTCCTTGCATGGCTGCAGACCAACTGGACTTTGTCTCCGAGTTTTCTGAGAACCTCTGCAGGAGTTTGGTGAACTTCAACACCCAGACCAACACCTAGAAAGACAGAAAATGAACAAACTGTGCAGAACTACAGATGAAGTTTGATTCCTGAATGATTAAAGTGATTACCGATGAGCCAAAACAAAAGGAGCAACATGGTGGCCTCCTGTCTGAATCAACGCTGAGTGGCGCTAACATTTTACCGTTTTATTGAAACCCTCCTCTTTAAACCAGCTTCTTAGGGTTGAGCTGACGAATATTTCTGGAGCTGCTGCACCACCTACTGGAAAGACATAAACGTCATTTCTGACATCCGTACAACAAATTAACCTTTTAAACTCCAAGCAGTTTTTGGGCTTTTTTTGTTGTGTTTTTTTTTTTTTTGTACTTCTGTCACATTTTTGCTAACTATGGGCTCAATTTTTATTACAAAATAATAAGCTGCACCTCTATGGAAACAGCACAATCATGGTTTGAAGTAGAGAGAACTCAGAGATGTCTTCTGTGCCTTAATTTATAATGCAATACATTAAAGAAAAAAAAAAAAAGAAAGAAAAATCGAAACTTGAATTTTTTTTATTAATAATTTTCTGCAAGTTTAAAAAAAAAAGTTTTTCCAAGTGCCCAGAGGTGATACCGACACTGGATTGCAAATGACTCCACATACTACAGATATTTTTTACAACGTATGTTTTTTAAAAAAAAGAAATTGATCTGCTCTGTTTGAACACAACCTGCAGTTCAGCCAAAAGTCCCAGAATCGCTGCCATGCGACTGCTGGTGGCAGCAAAGTCACTAAAGGCTTCCTTGTTTTGCCAAGAATTGAATTTTAACTGTTAATTTGACAAAACAATTGGCAGGATCTTAAATAAACAACATAACTTTTTCCATACAGCTGTTGCTAGGGGCTCCTCATATTTATGTATTTCCACACGTATCTGCTCTGTGTAAACACTGCCTGCAGTTCAGCCAAAAAGTCCCTGGATTTTTGTCACATGACTGTTGGTCCCAGCTGATTCAAAGCTGCATAGAAGAGTGCAGAATTTTCTGTTTTTTACAGAAACTAGTTAGAGCAAACGGTTCATTTTTAGCACATTTTTAAATGAGGCATACAAAATAAAGTGATTTTGATGAAATGACACAATTTTATGCTTAGATTTTGTTTATTTCCAAGACACACAAATTAGTAAAGGACTTAAGGTTAAAAATAAATCATTTTCTCTGTTTTTACATTTTCTGGCTGATAAATGGTATAATTTTGGAAATTTTTTGCTTCCTAGATAACAAGCCTCTCAAACCCACTGGTGGTTTTGGGGTTCAGCACATTTATTGGCAAGTAGTTTTTGTACAGCTGCTCGT